GCGGTGTACCGGACAGCACAACACCCACAAATACACCCAGCACCCAGGGCCCCTTCAAATAATACCGGTATGCATCCTAACTTAGCCTCGGTTCCCCGGGGAACGGATCAAGATGCACGGAGAATTACAGCTGACACAACTCAGCTCACACACACACACACACACACACACACACACACACACACACACACTCACATACACACACACACACACACACTCACATCCACACACACACACACACACACACACACACACACACACACTCACATACACACACACACACACACACACACACACACACACACACACACACACACTCACATACACACACACACACACACACACACACACACACACACACACACACACACACACACATACACACACACACACACACACTCACATACACACACACACACACACACACACACTCACATCCACACACACACACACACACTCACATACACACACACACACACACACACACACACACACTCACATCCACACACACACACACACACACACACACTAGGGATGCTCCGATCCGATCACGTGATCGGAAATCGGGCCCGATCATGTGACTTTTAAAAGATCGGAATCGGATGTTAAAGATCGGATTTAACCTTATAAAACAACAAGCATGACATTTTTAATCAATCTTGAGCTTCAAATTGAATAACAATGGCTTAATTTTGTACCAAGTTTCACTTCCTCAATAACAACATGACAACACCATACATCAGCCTTAACGTCACATGTTTTAAAGTGGACCGCGGAATTCAGGTTGCAGTTAGCTAGCAGGTTAATGCTCATCTCGCTCCAGGAGGGCAAAAAATGTCAGCGGTTTGGAATCATTTTAAACTGGAGACCGAATGCTGTCCAACAGCCACTTGCAACGTGTGCAAACTGAGTGTTTCACGTGGTGGAAAAGACAGAGCTGCTTTTAACACCACGAACCTGATCCGCCATCTCAAGAGCAAACATCCAGCTCAATATTCTGAGTTCACCGCGGCAACGCAGATCAAAACATGGAGCCAGCCGACACTGGAAGCTATGCTGAAAAACAAAGAAAAACTTTTTATGGTATCATGTTGGATGCCGTCATATAAATAACAATAATAATAATAATAATAACAATAATAACAATAATAATAATAATAATAATAATAACAGGTCAATTTGGAGGCAGTCTCCCTTTTTTCTTGCTATTTTATTGTATTGCTGAAGTATCGGATCGGGACTCGGTATCGGCAGATACTCAAAATCAAATGACTCGGAATCGGATCGGGAGCCAAAAAATGTGATCGGAACATCCCTAACACACACACACACACACACACTCACATCCACACACACACACACACACACACACACACACACACACACACACACACAAGGAAATGAGCTAAACTCCATGAAGGGGTGAAGACGAGCATTAGGGTTAGGGTCTGAGGTAATTGAGGACTTCCAGCATCATGAACCGGGTCCATCCAGAGCTGTGGAGGTGGACACCGGCGCTGAATCAGCCAAGAACCTAAAAGCCGACCCAACTCAAGCAGCGATAGAAAGTATTCAGCCTTCCAGATGTTTAGCTGGGATTGAGTCGTCCTCCAAACACGTCTTTTATCCAAAATACTCAACCTTTGGTCAGCAGCTGGGATCCAGTGAGCTGGTGGGGTGAACTAGAACGTTTTATTCTAACAAAGAGCCTCTAGTAGACGTCCTGTGTGTTGGGTGGGATGCTGCTGCAGCCCCGCTGGTCTCAGACCTTCTCCCCGTCTGTAACGTTACGTCGTCATGATGTTTACGTTGGAGAATGACCTTTGGCCTGCGGCTCCATGGTGCAGAGCGTGGCTCAGAAAACAGCGCTGACTGGACGACAAAGGGAAGTGATCACGGTCCGTTTTAGTTCCCTCAAAGCTCATCACACTCTGCTGCTTCTGAGGAATGGCCGTGGGCGGCTGGGGCACAAACTACTCCACTCCATAAGTTTGAGCTCGACAACACCGAAACATTCCTCAAACATCGCTGCAGAATAAAAAGTTGTGCTGATCGTGGCTTTTAATGGCCGTCTTTAGTCCTTTCACCAGTTAATGAATCCGGGCTTTGCTGACTCGTTATCAGCACCAGAGAGATTCTTCAGATCATCAGACTCCTGGTGCACACCACGTCCTGCAGAGCTGTAGGTGTGTAATCAGGTTGGAGTGTTGTCGCTGCACACACACACACACAAGGTCGGCTCCATCCATTCCCACGTGTTGAGTTTAGTAACGCTGACATGTTGGTTAATCAAGTCCTTTGTGCTTGTACAAACAGCCCCTGCCCTCCTGTCTGCCCCACCCGCACCCCTCAGGTCAGTCACTGCCCCCCCACTCCTCACCAGCCTCTAATCCCACAACATTCCTGCACCTGTAGGGCAGCGGCCATGTTAACTAGCCTGGACAATAATCCAGGGACATTTAGTGATAACCACATTTATTTACTGTTAAAAACTATTTCCTTCACCCTCAGGCTTCGGCGGGGACCTTCTGTCCATTTGGGAAGTTTCTTTTGCTTTTCTTTGGACGCCATTGCACCGCTGTCTGTGCATTTGGTACAAAACCTCTCTGGACCAATTTTGAAATTCAATTTGGAATTTTGGAAACATAGCAAGGGAACACCGTAAATTATATATATATATATATATATATATATATATATATATATATATATATATATATATATATATATATACACACACTTGAGTCTTCGGCGGACAGAAACGTTCATTGACTTCCACAGGTTTGATCCTGTGACATCTGCAGCAAGTAGTCCTGCTCTCTGTGATGTCAGGGTTTCATTTTGGAGAGGCTGTACCCGGATATTGCGTAAACATAGTACGGCGGGCGTGCATGCGTCATTCACCCAAACAAAGCTATTCAGTCAAACATGGCCGACAAAGAGACTTCCTCTCACTGGTCGGACTCGTGTTAAGCATAATTCTGCACACACGAAGACGCATAAGAGACCAGGATGATGAAGCTCAATGGTTAAAGGAATCACGGAAGCGGTGTGAAGCGCTCCATCGCACGTCTAGGCGGCACCGTAGGAGGCGAGCTGCCGTGGTTCGCTGCATGCTACAGCAGCGAGCTATCTAGGTGCACCCCCCGGTCCCCTCCTCCTCCCCCTCCTCCTCCCCGGAACTCGACCTCACCTGTCTGAAGCAGCCACCCTGTCCGTGACAAGTCCGGCCGTGTTACTAGTGGCGTTGTCCGGTTTACGGACAGAGTCCTGAACATTTCCGTTTCTCATGGCCTGTCTGAAGGAGGCTTTACTGAACTTCAAAGTGTAGAAAACAAAAACAATGAGTGTGTTCACATACATGTGTGGAGCTCCAGTCAGGTATGTGAGAGTTGCATGAAGAAATCTTTTAACCAAGGTCTGAACCAAAACACCTTGAGCCTGGAAGCAGATGGCCTCCAGCAGCCGAAGACCACAGGAGGTGTCACTCCTGTCCCGTCAGCTTAGAACAGGAAGCTCCAGCTACAGGTGTACGCAGGATCTGTGAAGCCGGGCTAAGAGAGACTGGAACAACGTACCCTGGTCTTGAGTTCAGATGGTCGGGACGACATTTTAAGTCAGCAACATGAAACTATGGATCCGTTCTTACACTACAGCCTGCATGAGTATTGCTGCAGACCAAGTCCTTCTCTTTATGACCACATGGACCCATCTGAGGCTGCTTCCAGCAGCACCAGGTCACAAAGCTCAGCTCATCTCTACCTGGTTTCTAGAACATGACCACTGGACGCCAACGGCCTCCACTGTCACCAGAACCCGGGGAGAGTGGAGGGACGGGAGCTGCTGGTCATGGATGGAGCTGATGCTGTCATGTCAGGATGAACCAGAATCTCAGAGGACGGCTTTAAACACACTTGAATCTGTGCAGTGAAGGCTTAGGGCGGTTCTGAAGGCTAGAGCGGGTCTGACCACCCACAAACCCTAACCCTAACCCACCCACAGATGTGGAAGGAGCTACCAGCACTACCAGAACAGCGGCTGCCTTGTCGACTTTCATGAATCTCCTGAAGACCCTGCTCTTCAGAGAGCATCTTCTAAACCCGTCCCCTCTCTACTGTCCTCTCCTTGTTCCCTTCCCTCTATGCTGCCTCACTGCCTCCTAGGATTGACTGAATAGTGTTTGTTGTCAGCCTCAAGGGCAACCACGGCTTCATCATCACCTGCAAGTCGCTTCTGCTAAACACATAACCTGATGCTGATCCCTGTGTGCCTAATAAAGTGTCTGGTGAGTGAATAAGAAGTGGCTTTTACCTATATTATCATGTTATTATGGTTTAGTGAACTATACTCCGTAAATCTGACTGCTTGTGCAATAAATAATACATATGTTAGATGTCTAAAGATGAAAAATATATTATGGGATATCAGGTTATTTCTTCTGCCAACATAAAACCACCGCGTGGTTCCACACAGGGAAACATTCCCTTCACCTAATTTCTTCTGTCCTGAACAGCAGGTAAAGGTGGGATCTGGGCAGCAGAGGTCCTCTCCCTCCGGCCTAGCTGCCTTCAGATCTGTGGAGGTGAACAGAAACTAAACCTCTGCCTCTTTCACCCTCAGCTGGAGGTTTGGTGAGCTCCAGGAGCGCACAACTTGTCTGGGCCAGTGGCTGAAGTCAAGTGAACTGAGAGCGTCTGCGGAGACTGTAATTGTGCAAAACGCACATGGGGTCTCAGGGGCACGTGTCCGGGGTTGGCTGGGACGGAGTCGTTCTCGGGGCCAACGTGCTGTAACTTTGTGTCTGTCTTAAAACCAGAACCCAGACCGACCCGTGAAAGCCCCGAGAGCTGGCTCTGTGGGGCGGACAGACAGCTGAGGAGACACGGCACGGTCCGCGTGCAAGGTGCACGTTTACCCAGTGGCACTTCAGCGAAATCCCAGTTACTCCACAAATGCAAGCTCTCTGGAGAAAAGGAAAGCGGGGAGAAGAGGACTTTTACCTTCCTTTGATGAAGCGCAAACCAGCGACAGAAGACAGAGCAGCCAAACTGTCTCCACCGCCATGTACAGCCCCTGCTTTCCTCCGGTGGCGTAGAAGCGTGCGTCCGTACCGACAGCTACACCGTTACATCGACCTGCACACGCTGGAATCCGCTTTTGTCTCGTGCGTAAAGGAGTTTGGCTCCGTGCTCACCAGCGGTCCTCCTCGGCTTCCCCTGCCGAGAGGGCTGCGCGTCAGTCGGGACAGAGCCGTCGAGTCTCTCGGCGCTTCAACGCCATGTTGCGAACGAGTGTGGCGCTGCCGCCCCCCCCCCCCCCACACACACACACACACACACACACGCACGCACGCGCATGGTCGCACGCGTGCACGCGCCCCATGCGTCCGCCCGTTAACCAGACGCTGCCAGAAGCTTTTTTATGTATTTTTACTTTCTTCCATCCTTGGGCGGTTCTTACTTCAGACCCGGCGGGTCCGTTCGGGTCGGGCCACGCTGCTGACCGGAAATGCACATTTCTCAAAAATGGATCGCAGCCCTTCTGTCTGTCTGTCTGTCGGTGTGGGGGAGACGGATTCTTTACAGAGAATCGGTGTGTGCGTGCGTGTGCGCGCGTGTGTAAGAGGACTGCTAATGCGCTGGCCTCCATGAACCCAGTCTGAGGACACTGATGATTTAGTCCTCATTTATTCACGTCATTTATGTAATCACGCATTTATTTCTTCCGCTGTTGTTGCGGCAGCCGCACACCTTTGTTTGCGTCAAAGCTGGTCTGATTTTTCTAAAGGGGGTGGGGCCGGAGGGCCACATGTGTTCAATGAGCAAAAAAACAGCCAAGGGAGGAGGTGGGGGTTGCACTGGGGGCCAGAGGAGGAGAGCGAGGGGGGACGGACCTGCATCCTAATCAATCAACCAACCAGCTCACCCTGTCTCCCACACTCCCCTCCCCCTGAGTGCTGGAGGACCCGCTGACTTCTGCATGTAAACACATAGCAGGAGCCAGCTGACCCAGACAAGACTCCTGCAGAGCTCTCAGCATCACTGCTCAGTGCTTCACAGCCAGCATGCAGCCTGGGCTTCAACACCACAACTATACCACACAGTCATGTGTCATCTACAGAGAAAAGGCCATTGGGAGGAAGAAGAAAAAGAAAATATCATTTCTATAGCGCCTCTCAAGATAAAAATCACGAGGCGCTTCACAAAAACAAAAAATGTTAAAATATAAAAAATAATTTAGAAAATGTTTAAAAATATATTTAAAATGAGCAAAAATAGACAATTGTGATTTAAAAACATGTTAAGAAAGAGAGAGAGAGAACAGGAAAGAGGGAAACCAGTGGATCCTGAGGAAGGTGGAATAGGTGGGGAGAGCAGAATAAAGAGAGAGAGGTGAAGAAGGTCATACAAAAGCCAGCTTGAACAAGTGAGTCTTCAGCTGCTTTTTAAAGGAGACCACTGAGACCACTGATCTCAGGCTCAGGGGGAGAGAGGTCCAGAGTCTGGGGGCCACAGCAGCAGATGATCTGTCACCTTTGACCTTTAGCCTGGTGCTGCACAACCAGTAGGCTTTGATCACTGGACCTCAGGGACCTGCTGGGGGTGTAGGGACTAAGAAGATCACCAATGTAAGATGGTGCTTGTCCATGTAAGGCCCTATAGACCAGAACCAGGATCTTGAAATGAACCCTGAAGTTGACTGGCAGCCAGTGAAGCTGGAGGAGAAGCGGGGTGATGTGGGTGTGTTTGGAGGACTTGGTCAGAAGCCGAGCACAGGCGTTCTGAACCACCTGTAGACGGTTCAGGGAGGTTCTGCTCAGACACGTGAAAAGAGAGTTACAGTAGTCTAAGCGTGAGGAGATGAAGGTGTGGAGAACTGTCTCAAGTTCAGAGCGGGACAGAATGGGACTCAGCTTAGCAACGTTCCTGAGATGGAAGAAGGAAGAGTGAAAACTGGGAATTAAAGTCCAGCCCTGAAAGTGCTGTGCCCATCTGTAACATGCTTGGGGATGGGTTGGTTGTGTTGATAATGGTGGGGTTCATCATCAGCTGGACTGACTGATTGGAAGTTTATGTTCAGGGTGCGCTAGTCTCTCATGATGAAGAAATGGTAAATGGCCTGTATTTGAAATAGCGCCTTCTAGAGCCCTGGAACCCCCCAAGGCGCTTTACAACACAATCAGTCATTCACCCATTCACACACACATTCATACACTGGTGCCGAGCACTGGAGCCACCGGTCCCTCCGACCACCACCAGCAGGCAACGAGGGTTAAGTGTCTTGCCCAAGGACACAACGGCAGCGACAGACTGAGCGGGGCTCGAACCTGCAACCTTCCGATTACGGGGCGAGCAGTTAACTCCTGTGCCACCGTCGCCCAAGAAGGAGCTAATAAAAGAGGACATCCACGTTCTGACTCGTATTTGGTCACAAAACTAAAAGTTTGACCAGAAGGATCCAGAAGCAGGAGGCCGGGCCCGCAGCTTCAGCCATGGGGCCCTGAGTCCAGCCTCTGCTGGTTGTTCTGGTGTCTAACCTGCCTCCGAAACACATCCCACTCCAAGTAAAACTAGAACTTTCTAAGTGCTAACCGGCCTGTACAGCACCTTCTACAACCCCCAAAGGTGGTTTATACACCCCGCCCCCGCCCCCAGGTTCACTCAGGATCTGAAGGAATCCACGCTGCCGTACAACGGTTCCTTTGGTAATAAGATCCCCGCCAGTCTCAGGGGTCGGCAACCCGCGGCTCTTTCATCCATCTGATGCGGCTCTCTGCTTGTAAACTAATTAAGGAATATTTAATTACGATGTAGTTTATTCATGTTTTCATCTGTAGCCAATTCTAAATTTAAAGATTGTCCGCGTAAACGTGAACGGGTCACCTGCTTGTGCGTAATCAAATGTCTACAGGAGCTTTCTGATCTAGATATGAGATTCTGGACTGATCCTCAGACGGCTCAGGGATGCGTCGCGGTGTTGGAGACAGGAACAGGCGCTATTCAGCCAAAGATTCATAATCAGGGAACATTTCTTAAGTGACAAGTCTCTGAGAGACCGGGTTTAGAACACACAGAATCTTCCTGCATGGTTCTGGTTCTGCGACGCGCTCCAAGCCCCTGATCTATCTTCAGCTCGCTGTCCACCTTACGCGTGCGCTGACAGCGAGCTGTGCTGAGCTCAGTGTCCATCTCAGATGTTCCGATGGGAATCTTTTCCTGACTGATGTAGCTACTCCACGATGTGTGTTAAAATGTCAGCGCATCTGCAGGCTTGAGATGTCTCCGTCAAAATAAACACGGGACACATCGGGTCGTGCGAACCCCGTCAGTTAACCGCTTTACCTTCTAGTGAAGATTGTTGCAGACAGAAACAGATGAATACCCGAGCCACCACACTGAGCCGTTACCTCCGTCAGTGTAAACAAGGAAAAACAAATAATTACCTTTTCAACCATGTTTAATGCAAAGTTTAGTTCAGTACAAAGTTGAATTACAACCGTCCAACGAGACAGAACAGTTATGTGCGATGCCTCAAAAAGTGTCACCTGCTCAACTAAAACCACCAGCAGGGTGAAAAAATCTAAATATTGTAGCACAGACGGGCTTCAACTTTTGGATCGATTTCATACAAACTGTTTTATTAATTGTCTTCTGTTGAAAGATAACTTTGAGGTACAAGAGCGACCGGTACTGGCTGCTGTCACCTGTTGTGAGCAGCTCTCTGCTGTCTGAGGGTAGGCCCCGCCCACAACGCTGCGGCTCCCAGGGTTGTCTTTACTGTGGGAAACTGGTAATAATGGCTCTTTGATGGGAACAGGTTGCCGACCCCTGCCTTATCTCATTCTATTCATTTAATCCTGACGAAGGGTTTGAGCTGATGAAATAAAATGGGATGGGTGCCTTTCCAAGGGGACTGATGGAAGCAGGTGTGATGGTGAGTGGGTTGTGGCTAACGTCTGTGTCCTTTGCAGTTATGGTTACCAGTTACAAGTTTTGTTTCTTTAACCAGATGAGTGGATTAAGAACTCATTCTCATTTACAACGATGATCTGGTGTGAGCGTGTCCACGGGGTTGGACAGAGAAAACTCATTTCGGCCGCTTGTATCCGTGATCTCGTTCTTTCGGTCGCTACCCAAAGCTCATGACCGTAGGTGAGGGTAGGAACGTAGATCCACCGGTAAATCGAGAGCTTCACCTTCTGACTCAGCTCTCTCTTCACCACGACAGACCGGTACAACGCCCGCATCACTGCAGATGCAGCACCAATCCACCTATCGATCTCACGCTCCAGCTTTCCCTCACTCGTGAACAAGTTTTTGGTTCATTAAATGTACAAAATCTTTTGGTGCTGCAGCTTTGTGACACTCAGGTAGGGTTACCTGGTGGACAGCACTGTTGTCTTGAAGCAAATGGTCTTGGATCGGTTCCCGTCTGCAACATGTCTGCAGGTTCTCACCGTGCATTCAGTTTCCTGACACAAACTCAATTTTCACATTTATGGTCAGTTGACGACTGATTTGGCATCTACATGTGACCATATTCATGTGTGCACATCTGTGACCTGTCCATGGTGGATCCCTAACACAATCACAGTCGGGCAGGCATCCGCTCCCATCACTCTGCAGAGGACTGTGTAAGGAAGAGGTGTAGCAAATGGATAAATGCAACACATCTCCCTCTAGTTTTACCACATGGGTTTGTCCCTGTGAGGCTTCTGTAGTATTCTTCACAGACAGACACCAAACATCCTCTAACTGCAGACCAAGCAGAGAGAACAGCGCCCCCATCTGGATGTTCACAGGTGTGACAACGTCAGGCTCAGACTTGTGTCATCATGACAAAAGCAACATGCTGAAGAAAGAAAACGATGTTTTAAAGCACTTCTCAAGATGAAAATAACTTCACAAAAAAGTATAAAAAAGATTTTAAAAATGATTAAAAATATGTTTAAAATGAGAGAAAAAATAAATTGTTATAAAAATAATATAAGGAAAGGGGAGAGAAAATGAAGAGGAAAGAGTGAAATCTGTGGATGGCGGGGAGCGGTGGAATAAGTAGAAAGAGCAGAATACGGTGGTGTCAAAGGTCACGCCAAGCCAGCGTGAACAAGTGAGTTGTAGGTTGTGGACCAAAACCTTCCTGCAGTTAACTAAAGCGTACATTTTATTTCCAACTGCATTTGAGCGCAGCATTTTGAGAGAACAGAGCCCTTTTCCAAGCTCAAATCAATAAGCATGCATCGGTCTTCCAGATCAAGCTGGGCTGAATCAGCTGTGATGTTTAGAGAACAAACAGCGTGGCTAATGGTG